AGGAAGCTGTAGAGAAAGGAAAGATGAATTCCCTCCACTCTTCTAAGGTCTTTGGCTGGGCTACAAGTTAAGTTGACATAAGACAGACTAACGGAAGAAAAACCATATTTAATTATGTATATATGCACTGGAGTTCCACAAAATATGAGACTCGAAGAGTCAGATGACTAGAGCTTATATAGCATGCTCAGCTACAGAAAGGAAATGGGCTGGAGGCTTTTGGGGGTGGTGGCAAGACAAGTTCTGGGAGGGTGAGGGGAGAAAATGTATGGTGAATAAAGGTTGTTTTATTATGCAGGTAAAAAGACTCTCAGGTAACAAAGGTTGTCATGGAGCAGCCTTCAGAAGAACAGATGATTGTCTCTCTGGGAGTGGGTCAACTTCCGGTTTCCTTTCCTATGATTTGAGTTAATCTTCCCTCGTTGATATGATTGATAAGATTTCCAGGGAGCAGATTCATGATAATTGCATTGCTTTTGGAGTATCTCTCTTCAGACAGATGGCAGGGTGGGGAAGGTGGCTCAGAGAAAGCCTCCACCTACATCCACTATTCCCCATGTGTCCTCAGTTCAAAGTAATCAGTGTACCAAAGCATCATATGTTGGGGTGGCTTTCCTGAATTCCTTTGGAGCACCCCACCCTCTTGATGATACAAAGCCTGCCTCCCACAGCCTCTGATTGATCACAGTTTCCAAGTATAGCACCCTATGGCATGCCGTGTCCTCTTATCCTGGACTGGAGCATATATGACTAATAAACTCATCTCACTTGTTCAGTGTCAGGTGGGGTGCATTTGGCCATCCCCATAACCCTGGTGTTAACGGGGTGGGGGGACCCCAAACACTGTAAAGTAATTTAAAGAGGTTTATTCTGAGCCAGTATGAGTGACCACGGTTGAAGGATCCACAAATCCAAGAACCATTAAGTGAGTGGTCTGGAGTAGGTCAGATTGCAGTTTGGTTTTATATATTTTAGGGAGACAGAAATTATAGGTCAAATCGTAAATCAATACATGTTAGGTATACATTGCTTTGGCCCAAAAAGGTGGGACATCTTGAAGCAGGGGGCTTACAGGTTATAGGTGGATTCAGAAATTCTTTGATTTGTAATTGGTTAAAATCTGGGTCAGTAGAAAGGAATCCTTGAGTTAAGATAAGGGGATCTGGGGGACGGGGGGGATGGGTATATACAAATACAATGAGTAAGATGTGCAATGTTTGGGGGATGGACACACTTGAAGCTCTGACTCGAGGGGGAAGGGGGGGCATGGGCAATATATGTAACCTTAACACTTGTACCCTCATAATGCGCTAAAATAAAAAATAAAAAACATAAAGATAAGGGGATCTGCTAATCAGAGAGCAGGCCACAATATACTCAAAATGACCTGTTAAGCAAACTGATTGCCTGCAAGCATGACTTAACCTTTGTTTTGCTTGGCTTTAGGTCAGCTTGCAATTTGTCTAAACCCCAAAGGGGAGTTTAGTGTCAGGTGGGGTGCAAAGGGAAATTGGTTATAAGGAAGCATGTCTGACCTCCCTTCTCTTCATGACCAGGAACTCAGTTTTAAGGTTTTTCTGGGGTCCCCTTGGCCAAGAGGGGGTCCATTCAGTGGGTGGGAGTGGGGCTTAGGATTTTATTTTTAGTTTACACTAGGGTGGACAAAGTCCTTAAGATCACTTAACGAGGCCCTACAATATCTAGCCTTCCAATCCCTCTATGAACTCATCTTCAGCTCATTTCACTCCAGTCATTGCCTTCTTGCCCCTAAAACAACATGTATGCTTCTGCCTCACGGCCTTTGCTGAGCAGTTCCTTCTGCATGGGATGTTCCTCTAGATATCCACATGTCTAATCCCCACAGCTTCAAATCTTTGTTTAGACATGACCTTCCTAATGAGGACTACAACTATCCTATTTAAAATTTCAAATCCCTCCTCCTTTGTACTCCCAATCTCCCTTTCCTATTTTTTCTCTGCTAGCACTAATCATGTTCTAACATATAATATTGATTATTAATTGACTATGCTACTGTATGACACCTCCTCATTCCCATTAGTATATCACTTCTAGAGAATGGGGATTTTCATCTGTTTTGGACCTTTGCACCCAGGAAGGAGCTGGCCCTCATACTAGGCCCTCAATAACTATTTGTCAAACTAATAAATGGGTGAGAATATGTAAAGAATATTGTGAAAAGAAAAGAAAATTTCAGGACCTTCCAAATTTCTCATGCAAAGGGGAAATGTTAAGCCCTGGAAACTGAGTCAGGTAACAGGGCTGTTTCTTTCTTCTGGTGTATGATTGTTCCTGACCTTTGTGCTGAGATGTTATACATTAACCAGACTCCCTAGTCTTCATTCAAACCTAGGCTAAATGACGTTGGAAATAGAGACCCTTGTGATTGTTACCCTGTACAACAAATTGTTAAGCAACCTTTTTAGAGTGTAATCAATCATAGCCAACCAGATCTTATATCTGTAGTTTAGCCTTTGTATGGAAAATGTTGTAATTCTGTTCAGCCCCTCCATTTCTGCCCATATAAATGATCTTCACTTTCCCCTATACTGGGAGCATTGATCACCATTCTTCTGTGTCTGTATGTCCCCAATTGGTGGCTCACACTCTCTGCTCACACAAACTCTTTAACTGGATCCTGAGCCTTTCAATTATTTTAGGTTGACAATACAAACATACTTAGCAAGGCTGCTAATTCAGAGAATCGAGGACTTAGGAAAGTTCAAAGCAGAAAGGATTAATCTAATTTTGATCTTCCTCAGGTTTTTAATTAGAATATTCCTTTCTTTTCTACCCTAATCTTGTCTTCTGTCAAATCCTCCCCTGAAATAAAACACATTTCAATGAGTTCAATTGAAGTCACTGATGAATTTTTGAATTCTAATTTTGAATTAGTACCGATGAATTTTTGAGTTGGTTATAGAGGTGAGCTAATGGCTATTTCCATGACAGAAAAGTGCTGGTAAACATTCTGGAACTCTCCTCCTCCTCCCCCAAGAATAATCCAAGCCAAAATAACATTTCCAAACCTCATTTTAAATAGATATAATTTTTTTTCTGATTAATTAAACATAGTTTTTTAGACTGAGTTCAAATAGTCTATATTCATTTTATAACTCCTACATAATAAAACAAATTACATTTTCATCCGTTTGCTTTCTTGTCAGTATACCACTCTCCCTAACTTCTCTTGCATCTATATGAGATCAGGTATTTCATAGCTGATACTATCTGGAAAACATTAAAAGAACAGAAATAAAAGAGTGTAAGGACCAAGGGAAAACTTCCCCTTTGCCCTCTAAGGTTTGCTGAAAAGTAAAATGACAAAAGGCAGATTATTGGAGAAAATGCATACAACAAATTTGTTAACATGCCCATAGGGGAAACCACAGAGTGATAACTCCTCCCTACTCCAATGGTGTTCAGAAACTTATAAACCATCTTGAGTTTACAGAAGGAATGGGGGCAAAACAGGTGATGGGTTGTGGTGGGAGAACAGGAGGTCCGAAGGCCTGGATGGCACAGGTGTTCTTCTCAGTTAGATGAAACCTCACAGGTAGCAGCCCTCATAGAGAACAGAAGGTGAATTTTCTTTCACACTTTTAAAGGTGTCAGACTCCATTAATATTTCCTAGATCTGGCCTAGGGAAAGCCTCAGAGAAAGCCTGGCTGTATCAATGCAGATTTTCACTATAGATTCAAATCTCCCCAACAAAAGACAGTTTTGGTGGGCTACTCCTGTTTGCAGGCCCTCTAAGCAACCACCTCAAAATATGTCAAAGAAGTATATTTTGGGATGAAATATTTGGATTTCCTTCTGGGGAAAATAATGGATTTACTATTTATCAGATGTGATATGTAGCTAAATGTTCATTTTTTTCCACCTTTTCCTCCAATTCTTCCTGTAATGGGGAGAAGAGATGGGAAACTACAGGGCGTGGGGGGGAGAGAGAACCTATGCTGGAGTCAAATATGATTGCTATGAACCAGCAGCAGTTATTTTCCCTCCCACTTTTTCTTTCATGCTTCCATGTGTCAAAGGAATTAGTTCTTTTTTCATAATTACAAGTATTTGGGGGACAGATCACTATGAGAATACAGTTAAGTTGTGGAATTTCTTACAGGTTAACACTTCTATTTTTCTAACTTACAAGAAATGCAGATATTGTATGAAATGTGGTTATATATTTTGAACCCTCATTAAATGTTCTTTATTAACATACTAACAATTCATTAAATGTAAACAATAAATACAAATTAAAACTTCTAATAGTTGTCTAAGGCTAATGAAGAAGGATGGCAATAGGAACATATTCTGGAATTTTGTTTTTCTTTGCTTCTTTCACTCATTCAAAAGATAGTAATAGAACATCTATAATGTACCAGGAACCATGTTAGCAGTTACGGATAAGTTGTAAATGAAATAAGATCGTGTCCCACGGGCAGCTTCTTTTATTGAAGGCACCGGTATGAATTCTAGAGCCCTAACTTTACCTTTTCAAACGACTTTTCTCGCTGCATTCAAAAGCAGACTTGTTCCATTAAGTCTCCATTCCCTACAGAGACTTCTTGATGTTCAACTAGGTAGTGGCCCGCGAGAGCGCTCATTTAAACATAAGTCATCATTCAATCATACTTCAATAAATAAATACTATTGAGAAATGAGATGTATTAACCAAGTTCTGGAAGGTAGCAGGTGTCAGAGGTGGGGTTCTGGACAGGGTGAGAGGAAGGGAGGAATGTCTAGATTTGAGGGAGATCAAATTTGGAAGGTAGGCTGTGGTCAGCACGCACATTTACCCTTGAAATCATTGAAATATTTTTGTCACATGAACTTGCTCTCAGAGCTTGAAGAAAGTTAAAAGTAAAGATAAGCTGGCATGAGTTTTAAGGATGCAGCTTGGCTCTGTAATTCACTTGCAAGCAAGCAGAGCATCCTTCTATAGAGGACACAGAAAGAAGCATACACTCGCGTTTCGGCTAATTTTGAGCCGCGCCGCCTGCCGTCCGCTGTCACGTGCCGGCCCGCTGAGGCCGCGTTGATGGGTGGGGGCGACTCTGCTAGGCGCCGGGGCAGGAAGGGAGGCGGCCGCCGTGCCATTCTTAAAGGGCCCCGAGTGAAGGCGACGGGCTGCTGACGGCCGGAAGGAAAATGGTGAGTTTTTGCTGGGAGGGCGGAGGCTGAAGGGCTGGGCCAGCCATTCAGCCGGGCTTTCCTGTTTTCCTGAGTCGGTCGCGGCGGGCAGCTCCTGGGGTGGGTCTGCGGCCGCTTCCGCCCGGCTTCTGGGCATTGCCCACAGCCAGAGACTTGGTCTCCTCCCCAGCCGCTGCTGGCGTGTCTAAGGGCAGCATCTTCCAACCAGGCCTGGGGTCGACCCGCCCAGCGTGCTCTGAGACTAGAGTGCAGCCACAGGCTAGGCGAGGGGCACCTTCGTCGGGCCCTTATGGATGGAGGGCTCTAGCTTCTGAGCTGAAGGTCGGAGGGGCGGGGGTATGCCCTAGCGGAAGAACCCCCCAAACGCAGGTTTCCCAGCCAAGGCCGTGGTCAGGCCTGAGGGGCCGTTGGGCCCTTTCACCTGAGGGCATTTTCTGGAAGGACCTGAATTCTGATTGAATTCTCTCGGCTTTGTTTTAGCTTCTTTCTGCCTGTTCCTTCCTCTGGCCTTGCACTGAGGATTTCTTCTTATCCTTGCTTTCTGGCCACCGGAAACCTTTTGACCCAAAGCTTTGGCACTGGGCCTTAGAGTAATTGTCAAAAGCTCTAGTTTTGCTGGGTCTGGGGGCTGTGGCTTCTATTCTTGTATGGAGTGAACCCCAAGCATAAAAATAAAGTGTAGCATTAAATCACTTGCTATCATGGATCTTCTAGATACATTCCATCAGGTTTTAAAACCTCAAATTTCATTAGAAACAACAGCAACAAAAACACTATCTCTGATCTCCTACTCACTTCTCAGCCTACTTCCATCGAATAGACCTTGTCATGGTCACTACATCCAATGGTCTCTTTTCAGTTTTTATCATTTCTGACCTTTCAGCTGCATTCCAGTGTGTTGATACTGTCTCCTTTTTGAAGCATTCTCTTCCCTCATTCTTCCTCCTTGGCTTCTGGGATACAGAACTCTTGGTTTTCCTCCTACTTCTCCTGTTGATCCATCTGTTTCCCTTGCAGACTATTCTCCTTTCCTTGGACAATATACATAGGAGTCCTAGACTCCATCCTGATCCTTTATTTTCCATTCTGTATTCTCCTACACTCAGAGCTTCAATTACCATCTACATTCAGATGACTTGTGTATTTGTAGCTGAGATATTGCTTTTAAGATCCAGTCCAAATCTATGTATTCCACTATTTAATTAATATTCCCTGAGAAGCTTTTCCCCACTTGGATGCTTCAAAGGCACCTCCATTTGTGCAAAATGGAACTCATGCTCTTTCCTCTTAAACTTGGTCTTCTCTCTGTGTTCCCTAACTCAGTGAAAGTTTGTGCCATTCAATCTATTTATACCAGCCAGAAGCCTTGGAGTCATCTTGGTAAGCCTTTTTTTTTCTTTATTCATTCCCCAACTCCTGCAACATCTGATCTGTCACCAGCTCCTTTGTAGTGATTCAGAGAGTCGGTCAGGAGAAGTTAACTGGGTTGAATCCTGGCTCCACTAATGGTGTAACTTTGTGAAACATATTTAACCCCCCTAAGCTTAGTTTCTTGCAAAATGGTCATAATAATAATACCCATCTCATGGGATTATTTAAACATGAAGGAAAATCCATGTAAAGGACATACAGTGTTTTTCTCATAGTGTTTGGTACATGTTAACTGTTAGCACTGTTCACCTACTTCCCTTTATCCTCATCATTAAGTTCTCTCAGCTATTTTTTTCATCTCTCATCTGGACTAGTCTTGCCAGTTAACTAGTCTGGTATTCATCCTGCCTCTCTGCCTGTTTCCTGCACACCATAGCAAATGTGATCTTTTTAGAATGCAAATATGTCTTTTCCCTTCCTAACCCTGCCTAAAACACCTTAGTGGTTTCCCTTTGTTCCTAGAATAGAAACCAAAATACAGACTTTCTTGGGTATCCTAGGAAGTGGTGGGGGTTGGTTCCAGGACCCCCCATGGATAGCAAAATCACAGTTGCCTAAATGCCTTATATAAAATGGCATAATATTTGCATGTAACCTAAGCACATTCTCTTATGTACTTTAAATCATCTCTAGATTACTTATAATGCCTAATTCAATGCAAATACTATGTGAATAGTTTTACTGTATTGGTTTTAAAATTTGTATTGCTTTTTATTATATTGTTTTTTCCCCAAATATTTTCTATCCACTGTTGGTTGAATCCACTGATGCAGAACCAACTGATATGGAGGGCTGACTGTACTTACTATGACCCATTAGGCCCTATGTGGTCCAGCCTCTACCAGCGTTTCTCCTCATTGTCTGCACTTGAGTCATACTGGCCTTTCATTATCCTGGATATATACCTTGCTCACTTTAATCAAAAGGTTTTTGCACAGGTGATTGTAGTTATTCAGATGCCTTTTTCAGGGATGCCTTCTGTAATCATGTTCTTCATCAGGCATGAGTGAAGGATTCAGCAGTGTATTTTTCCTTTCTAGCCCTTTTCAAAGGTACAAGTTTACGGGTTTTAGCCTGGTCCTTTTGATGTAGATGCATTCTCTACTAGACCATGATATAAGCTCCCCAAGGGCAGGGACTATATCTTTTATTTACTTTTTATATGATTGTATTCCTAGCATTTAGTACGATGCTGGCACTCATTACATGTTCATTGTATGGATAAAGCAATAAACCAATCCTTGAGCTCAACTCTTCACTTTATTTTGTGTAACATTAACCATATAGATTTGCTTTTATGGCATCATGCTTGAATGCTTCTGTTGACTCTAAGCAATTAGAGTTGGCTGAACCTGAATCCTTTCTCTTGTAGAAAGGAATTTTTGGCCTTATCATGGTATTGGGAGGGGTAAAAATGCAAAAACAAGCTGTAAAAATTAAATCACGGCATATTTTTCGCTTGATTTCTGCTCCTTACAATGTGAAGCTTATGCAAGCAGCTATGGGTATCAGAACTGGAAGATAAGACTCTCATGATGAATTGGTCTTTGCCTAAACAAAAATCTAAAATATTTATTAGTTTTGCTAATGGGTTCTATCTTTGGTTAAAGAGAGAATGGAAATTCTAGTCTTCTGACTTTAGTATCTTTCTTAAGAAAGATACTGAATTTAAAGGTCAGTTAATTTAAAGTTGATAACCATTTTCTACTTTAACATATGCTTTCATTTACCCAACACAGGATCAAAACAGTAAGCTTTTGTTAAATTTTTAATTTAACTATTACTTGGAAGCTCTAATGTTCTGGGTTTTATAATGAGACATACACATTTAGTGTTGGTCTCAGAGGTGTTCTAATTTTCTTGAAGGAGGAGAATGGAACCTATCTATACATGAAAAGAGACCAAAGCGTATACACCTTGTTTGGAATTTGACTCAATCAAACCAACTGTAAAAAAAAAAAAAGAAATTAAAACAATGAGGGAAATTTGAACACTATTTGAATATTTGAGACTGGACTTGTCAGTTTTTAAGGTGGAATAATGTTATTGTCTTTATATTTTTAATGGCACATACTGTCTTTTTAATGAAACATACTAAAATATTTACAGATAAAGTGATTTCTGGTCTTTGCTGTGAAACACTCCATGGAGTGTTGAGGATGTTGGATGAAATAAGATCAGCTATGTGTTGATAATGTTGAAGCTTAGTGATGGGTACAGAGTTTTGCAATGCTATTCTCTACTTTTATATGTGTTTTAAGTTTTATGTATTAAAAAAAAAGAAAAAAGATTTTCATCTGCTTGCTTGAAGTAATATATTACACCACTAAAAAAGAATGCTTTTTTTTTTTTGAGACAGAGTCTCACTTTGTTGCCCAGGCTAGAGTGAGTGCTGTGGCGTCAGCCTAGCTCACAGCAACCTCAAACTCCTGGGCTCAAACAATCCTGCTGCCTCACCAAGTAGCTGGGACTACAGGCATACGCCACCATGCCCGGCTAATTTTTTCTACATATATTAGTTGGCCAACTAATTTCTTTCTATTTATAGTAGAGATGGGTTCCCGCTCTTGCTCAGGCTGGTTTCGAACTCCTGACCTCAAGCAATCTGCCCACCTCGGCCTCCCAGAGAGCTAGAATTACAGGCGTGAGCCACTGCACCCGGCCAATGTTGATAATTTTTTAAAGATTCTTTTAGCTTTTATATTTTTTATCTGGTTTTCCTTTTGTACATTCTGTTTTTCTTTTTTGATACATAATTGTATATATTTATGGGGTACCTGTGATATTTTGATGCATGCATACAGGGTGTAATGATCAAAGCAGGGTAATTAGAATATGTCTCAAACATTTATTATTTAATATTTCTTTGTGTTGAGAACACAAATCATTTAGCTGTTTTGAAATTTACAATAAATGATTATTAGCTGTAGTCCCCATACTGTACTATTGAACAGTAGAACTCATTCCTTCTAACTGTATTTTTATACCATTTAACCAACCTCTCTTTATTTCCTCCCACCCCCTACGCTTCCCGGCCTCTGATAACCATTATTCTACTCTCTGTCTTCATAAGATCAACGTTTTAGCTCCCATATATGAATGGGAACATGCACTGTTTGTCGTTTTCTGCATAACTTATTTCACTTAATGTAATGACCTCCATTTTGATCCATATTGCTGCACATGACAGGATTTCATTCTTTTTTTTATGGCTGAATAATGTTTCATTTTCTTTATCTGTTCATCCATTGGTGGACACTTAGATTGATTCCAAATCTTGACTATTGTGAACAGTGCTTCAATAAACATGGGTGTGCAGGTACCTCTTCCATATTCCGATTTCCCTTCTTTTGGATATATATAGCCACCAGTGGGATTGCTGGATCACATGACAAATCTATTTTTAGCTTTTTGAGGTATCTCCATACTATTTGCCATAGGGGCTATCTGTCCTAAATTACATTCCCATCAATAGTATATTAATGTTCCCCTTTCTCTACTTCCTGGCTAGCATCTGTTATTTTTGTTCTTTTTTCTTTTTGATAGTAACTATTTTAACTGGGGTGAGATGACATCTCAATGTGGTTTTAATTTGTATTTCTGATGATTAGTGATGTTGAACATTTTCTCATATACTTGGTCATTTGTATGTCATCTTTTGAGAAATGTCTATTCAGGTCATTTGCCCATTTTTCAATTGGTTTGTTTGCTTTTAAGTTGTTTGAGTTTCTTTTATGTTCTGGTTATTAATCCCTTGTTGGATAGGTAGTTTGCAGATATTTTCTCCCATCTGTAGGTTGTCTCTTCACTCTGTTGATTGTTTCCTTTGCTGTGTGGAAGAGGCTTTTTAGCTTGATGTAATCCCATTTGTCTATTTTTGTTTTGTTGCCTTTGCTTTTGAAGTCTTACCCAAAAAATCTTTGCCCGGACCCAGATCAATATCCTGAAGTGTTAACCCAATGTTTCCTTCTAGTAGTTTCAGTCTTTAATTCATTTTGTGTTAATTTTTGTATATGGTGAGAGTTTAGGGATCTAAAGTCATTCTTCTGCATATGGATATCCAGTTTTCTCAGCACCATTTATTGAAGAGTGTATCCTTTCCCCACTGTATGTTCTTGGTACCTTTGTTGAAAATGAGTTGGCTGTAAATATGTGGATTTATTTTTGGGTTCTCTATTCTGTTCCATTGGTCTGTGAGGCTGTTTTTATGCCGGTGTCATGCTGTTTTGGTTACTATTACTTTGTAGTATATTTTGGAGTAGTGTAATGCCTCCAGCTTTGTTATTTTTACTCAAGATTGCTTTGATTATTGGGGTTCTTCTGTGGTTCCATACAGATTTTAGGATTTTTTTTCCTATTTTTGTTGTATTTTGATAGAGATTGTATTGAATCTGTAGGTCCCTTTGGGGTAATATGGACATTTTAACAATATTAAGTCTTCTAATCTGTAAGCATGGGATATCTTTCCATTTTGTGTGTGTGTGTGTTCTCTTCAGTTTCTTTCATCAGTGTTTTATAGTTTTCATTGTAGAGACCTTTTACTTTGGTTAAATTTATTCCTAGATTATTTATTTATAGCTATTGTAATGAGATTGCTTTCTTGATTTCTTTTTCAGATTGTTTGCTGTTGGTGTATATAAATGCTACTGATTTTTGTAGTTTGATTTTGTTTCCTCCAACTGTACTGAATTCATTTTATCAGTTCTAAAAGTTTTTGGTGGAGTCTTCAGGTTTTTTTTAAGTGTGAGATCACGTTGTCTGTGTACAAGGATGATTTGACTTATTCCTTCTAATTTGGATGCCTTTTATTTCTTTCTCTTACCAAATTGCTCTGGCTAGGACTTTGTAGTACGGTGCAGAATAGGATTGGTGAAAGAGGGCATCTTTGTCTTCTTCCAGTTCTTAGAGGAAAGGCTTTCGGCTTTTCCCATTCAATATGATGTTAGCTGTGGGTTTGCCATATATGGTCTTTATTGTTTTGAGATATGTTACTTCTATACCCTGTTTCTTGAGGTTTTTTTTTTTTTTATCATGAAGGGATGTTACATTTTATTGAATGTTTTTTCGGCATCTATTGAAATGATCATGTGGTTTTTTGCTCCTGCTTCTGTTCATGTGATGCATCATGTTTATTGATTTGCACATATTAAACCATCCTTGCATCCATGACATGAATCTCAGTTGATCATGCTGAATAATCTTTTTAATATGTTCTTAACTCCAGTTTGCTAGTATTTTGTTGAGGATTTTTACATGTGTGTTCATCAGTGATAGTGGCTTGTGGTTTTCTTTTTTTTGTTGCATCCTTGTCTGGTTTTGGTATCAGGGTAATGCTGGCCTTGTAGAATGAATTTGGAAGTATTTCTTCCTCTTTGACTTTTTGGAATAGTTTGAGTAGAATTGGTGTTAGTTCTTCTTTAAATGTTTGCTAGAATTCAGTAGTGAAGCTGTCAGGCTTTTATTTGATGGGCTTTTCTTTTGTGGGAGACTTATTACTGTTTCAGTCTCATGAGTCATTATTGGTCTGTTTAGGTTTTCTCTTTCATCATGGGTCAATCTTGGTAGGTTGTATGTGTGTAATAATGTATCCATTACCTCCAGGTTTTTCACTTTATTGGCATATAGTTGTTCTTAATAATTCTAAAGATCTTTTGTATTTCTGTGGTATCAATTGTAATATCTCCTTTTTTATCTCTGATTTTATTACTTTAGCACATTCTTAATAGCTTCTTTTATGTCTCTCTAGTCATTTAATTAAGATATAAAATGTTACTGGTCTTTGCTCTTACAGTTTGTTTTCTATACTTTTGTTATTTGTATTATTTATTTATTTATTTATTGCCCTGTAATTGTGAGAGAATTACAGGGTAAAAAAATGAGCCAAGGTCTTATTAATTCTAAGTACAATAAGATGATTTTCCTGTTCTTCCTGCACTGTATAAAAATATGACACTTGGCTTCCTTTCTTACAGCACTGGGTAATCTTTGACTTTTCCCATGTTCTTCCCTATTTCTCTCAATTCTGAGGCACAATATTATGTGTCCAATTTTGGAACATTCATTAGCCAAAGAGAAAGATAAAATTTACCTTACATATATAAAATGAACAAATGTGTATGATTAAACAGTGTAGATCCAAAGGTTGCTAGATTTTAGAGCTCTTTTAAGTGTTCATGTGTTTTGCTTTAATGCTTTCATTTAATTGACATTTCTGAATGTCAGTATACCTTTTTAAAGGTATTAGGTTTTATAACTTTAACATGTAAATGTATTGAAGTCATGGCACTTTATATGTGAATTTTTTCTTTTATAGAGTGAGTCTTTGGTGGTTTGTGATGTTGCTGAAGATTTAGTGGAAAAGCTGAGAAAATTTCGTTTTCGCAAAGAAACGAACAATGCTGCTATTATAAGTAAGCTAAAAGTGATTGCCTTGAAGTTACGTTGTCTTGTTTTTTTTCTTACAGCTACATTGAATAAATTGAACCTTTAGAAAGTAATGTTGCCTCCTCTGTTTCACATTCCCTGCCCCTATCACTTCTAAAACTCCGTGAACGCTAATTCTAGTGTCACAGAACAGAGGTGGAATGTCCTGCCTTCCCCATAATTCTCTCAGCTCCATGCACAGTTCTGGAGAAGATGTTCTTGGCCACTTGGGGAATGAGGATTCCCATTTGCAATCACCCATCTAATTCCGTACTTCTTGGGGGTCTAAAAGTAGCCTGGCCATTCATCCTCAAACAGAAACCTTTGCCTACACTTTAAAATGGTAAAGTTCAACATTGTGTACAAAGTGACTTCGGTACTATTCCAATTCTAGACCCGAACTCTAGTTTCATGTAGAGTACTTTTAAGTGTCACTGTCTTCTGAAAATGGAAAGAATGATTTGCATGTCACCTCTTTCACTGTGAGCTATATCTGATGTTAGGTAGATTTTCCTTGTATTAGTAGGTAATACTTAATATGTGGGTAGTGATTTAGAAATGCAAAGGAAGGATGGGAGGGTGAAGATGTAAAACTTTATAGACTATGTTTAACAGATGCATCTAGCAGAAGTGATTTAATCAGGGGTGGTGACAACTTGTCATGGACTCTGGTTTTATTACAAATAAATACTACAGTATCAGCATATAGTTCTTAAAAGTGAAAATGTGTGCCAGTACCATTTTACTACAAAAGGTGAAGCTATTTGAGATTATATTTTGCCTCACAAGATTTACCATGAAGTTAGTGCAAAACCAAACACGGTCAACTTTGCAGACTAATGGGAAAGAATAGAGGCATGGATTATTTGAACTAACTTTGATTTGGCTTTGGATTTTATTAAATGTATTTGAAAGTAGATATCACTGCTGTTTGATAATTCACTTTCTTAGAATGATACTGCACCATGAATCTTGACTCTGGAGAAGCTGGGAATTTCAAGCTTTCTTCACTCTGACCCCTGGTCCACTTTGCGGTTCTAACTGTGTTGCACATAGACCAATCTCAATCACATTAACCCTTTCAGACTATTTTCTTACTATCTAGGAAGTTACATTGGAGTTACAAAGTTCTTCATATACATGGGAAGTATAAGGAGTTGACACAAAGTTCTAAATAAGCAAACTAGGTCCTGGGAATTGTGGGTAAAAGCTTTTAAAAGCCAACTGCTTAAAAAGGAAAGCTAGCTAATAGACCATAACTAAAATTGTGAATGAATTGTATGCATGTGTTTTTTTATGTTTTAATTTTAGATGCTCCCCAAAAAGCTTGAGACTATGTAAGTTGGGTAGATCAAAGTCACGTTAGAATCACAATTTACTCATATTATATTTTTATTTTAGTGAAGATTGACAAGGATAAACGCCTGGTGGTGCTGGATGAAGAGCTTGAGGTTTGTTCTATGAGCTAAATACAGTTTTATAGTTAATCCATTTTTATTACTCAAAAGATACTACATGTGCTTCTGAAACAAGTTCTGGCCCTCCTTTAAATGTATGCTCATTATGTATGATAAGCATATGCTAATTACCATGTAGTATGTTGTGTTGCTAATTAAGCTACCTTCTTTAATGAAATCCAGTGTAATAATTGGTAGAAGTTAGGGGTATATGCCCAGTAAGAAGTGAGTCAACTTTATAACTTGCTTCTAAATTGCTTGCTAGTAATTAAAACCTCAACTTAAGTATTTAGTTTGTCAAATTAAGTAACTAATTTAGAGTAAAAAGAAATTAGCTTTTTTTTCCTGAAATTTGACATTGTTTTCTCTCTAAGGTGTTGGCTTATGTCATTCAGTATTTCCTGACAATTGGAACATAAGCATAGAATCTGTGTCTCTCAGCCCCATATTTAGTTAATAAACAGAACTAAACTGAGTGGGCTGATGTGGGCCTGGGTCGGATTGAGAGTTTAGTAACCTTCATTTATGTGTAATTTAGTAAAATAAAATTTTATTTTGTGGCATCTGGTAATGGATTTATAGCTAAAAGTAGAATAGGTGCTTGGTGTAACTCCTAAGGGCTTATGGGTAAGAAAATGTTTAACAGTTGCTTTTCTCTGTGTTGCCAGGGCATTTCACCAGATGAACTTAAAGATGAACTACCTGAACGACAACCTCGATATCCTTTTTTCTTAGTGCTTTTAAAAAGATTTGTTTTCTTTAGTGGTCAGAATTTTATTTGTGAGCTCATTTGTTAAACTTTTATAAAACACATGGTTTATAAGATATCCTTCTATGTCATGATCACAGACAAAATATGTATGCATATATTGGATTAAGAAAAATGCAAAGTTGATGTATTAGTGGGATGAATCTTTATTTTAAACTATTCTCTTTAGTATAATGTGTGTGCAATACAAATTGAGAAGAAAAAATCCATATTAAGTCTATACTTTAAAAAATTTCTTTTTAGGAGATAATATGATTTTACAACTCTTTGGGGCTTGTTTATAATTTCATGGAAAGACAATGAATAGTGAAAGTGTGGCCTAACTCAATCATGTAGAAATTTGCGGCTCAGTAGCTCTCCAGAGTTCGTAAGTACCTGTCTCAGAAAAGTAACTTTAGTTTCTTTAACTTGAGAAAAACCTTCATTGTGTATAGTTATAAATATCAACATGATGATGGAAGAGTTTCATATCCTCTGTGCTTTATTTTCTCCAGTCCTGTTGGTAAGTGAATTTCTTTAAATAATATATATTTCGCTCTGATCCAATTAAACCATTTTTATACTAGGCAAATTTTATGCTATTTTTGAAGATGAAAGGTGTTGAATAACCTAAATTGAGGAAGGTGTTATGCATACGTGTGTGCATGCATCCTTGGAAAGAAGTTACTATTAATATAAAGCACCACCTCTTAGAACTTGTTTATTTTCTAGGATAAATTCCTAAAAGTGTGATTGTTGAGTCAAATCGTATGTACATTGAAAAGATGTTGAAATGAAATGACATTTTAGATATCAGAAATATATTTTCTTATATATTTTAATCTTGTTTATAAGTATGTGAACTCTGTATATAATCATGGTATATATTTGTGTTCATCTTTTAAGTGGTAGTTACCAGTGATATGCCTATAGTCTTGAGAATGGTCCCAGAGCAGCTTACATTGGGTCTTAAAATGGGTTTTTGGTACTTAAGGAATCTATTATCACCAAACTCCTACTACCACCACTGTTCAATCCCACAATAAAGACTCTACTCAGTGGATTCTTCTCTAAATGTTGTTATTTGTATCATTTTACTTAGCACTTAAAAAATACTGTAGTATATTTTAAATTTTATACGTAAGCAGAATGTAACTTTATTTCAGAACAGATCTCCCTGCCCCACTGGCACACCACCATACCAAAACCTTATATATTTTAAGCATCTATAAAATTAATGTTGATAGTGTCAAAATTAAGAAAGTGCTGAAAACTTTTTAAGTGTTTGCAAGGCTGTAAAAGTCAGAGGCCTAGAATTGTTTGATTTTGCTGACCTGTAGACTTGTTTATTTATAATTAAGCTATGTGTCTTCACAGGCAGTATGTAATATAAGACACAAAATACACCCCATATACATATTGTAACCTCAGTAGCAAAGGAAATGCTGCATGTGTCATTTTAAAAAAGAAAAATAATGAAAACTCATCACTTTTTGAACATCTATATTTCATTTCTGCATAAATCTCTCTTTTCCAGGATGTAAGCCTGAACAACAGATGATGTATGCTGGGAGTAAGAATAAGCTAGTCCAAACAGCTGAACTTACCAAGGTGGTATTTATATTTGACTTGCTTGTTGAGACAGTATTTTCCCTTACAGTATAGACCAGTAGCTATAGAATCCTTTGAAGGGGGAAGTATTTTTTTTTTTTTTTTTTTGTGTCAAGATATAGCCTTGTTTCTCAGGCTAGTGTGAGTACTGTGGTGTCAGCCTAGCTCAGACAACCTCAAACTCCTAGGCTCAAGCAATCCTTCTGCCTCAGCCTCCCGAGTAGCTGGGACTACAGGCATGCGCCACCATGCGTGGCTAATCTTTTCTATATATATTAGTTGGCCAATTAATTTCTTTCTATTTTATAGTAGAGACGGGGTCTCGCTGTTGCTCAGGCTGGTTTTGAACTCCTGACCTTGAGCAATCCGCCCGCCTCGGCCTCCCAGAGTGCTAGGATTACAGGCGTGAGCCACCACGCCTGGCCAAGGGAAGTATTTTTTATGCTGGTGAAGGTTATTGGACCACGGCAATAAATTATCCAAAGCTTTTTGTTAGTTGGAAATAGAGTGATAGAAGTCTTTGAACCAAAGTGTGTTTTTGAATGGTAAGTTGATTAAAAGAAATCACATACTAAATGTAGGCAAGTTTAGAAGAGCTACTGTAATGATTAAACCTATTGAAAGTTCTTTATCTTTCATAATGTAATCTCTAATATAATAAATAAAGGTCAACATTAAAGCTTCTCTGAACCTTGTACCATAGTCTAAAATGAGCCACATTTTGTGCTGGAATTGTGTATTATGCAGTTAATTGTATTGTTTCCCAATATAAAATTAAATTATTAAGAATATTAATAAAGCTAGACATTGTTTTATATGAGATACTTTCTTTAAGATTTAACATGTCCCTATTGTTTTGTGATATTTTTGAAGGTTGAAGGTAAGAGAGGTACTTGCTCTCAAACTTGAACTTCTACATATTAGTTTAAGTTGAAAAAGTATGTATGTTTAAGATTTTGAAGAAGAGTATATTACTAAAGCTAAAATATTACTAAAATATTTCCTTTCAGGTTTTATTTTAAGAACAGCATCAGTATTTCCCCTTGGGTGCTTAATCATCAACCCAGGAATTTAAGTACCCTCTGCTTTTCCCCTTTAGCCCATATGATTGTCATTGTTACTACCACTTTGCAGACATTACTATTTCCTAATTTGTACCATAGGAATACTCTGGAGTTGCTCTGAGGGATTGGGTGGTTAAAAAGGAGCTCTGTTAACAGCTTCATGTTTGTTCTAATCCTTGGCATGCCCTAAAGTGCTGGAGTTGAGATATTACAATTTACAAGTTACTTTTACAAATAAACCTATTCAGTTTTTACAACAGCCTTGTGAAGTTGATGGTGGTATTCTCATTCTGTGGATAGGGAAACAGGTTCAGAGGATGAATGACTTGCCCAGGGTTGCATAATAGTAAATATAGAGCTATTATTTAAACTCATATCTGGCCCCAAATCCCAATCCCATCCTTTCTGCTATAACATGTTGTCTGTATAATTGTTATATTTTCTGGGCCTATGTTAATTCAAATTCTTGCTGGAGATTTGTAGCTGTGAACCTCTATTCCATACTTATCAAAACAATCTACATCTGGTATTTCCATTTGACACACAGACTGTGGAGGACCAGTATATGTTCCTCCAGTTCTTAACTAGACTGATTTTAGATGTGTATATTTGAGGTATCTTTTCTAGTAGGTAAGATTTACAGAACTGCTCGTTTAGAATATTTGTGGATTTGTGCTTTTCAGAGAGTTTTGGTTTTATGCCATCTGGTTGCTATACTTTGGTGACTATTTAGAATTTAAAAGAAGTAAAGTATTGCCTAAAAGGTATATCTAATTTACACAGGTTAACTCATGACCAATATGAAAAGAAGCAGACTTTGGTATTTAATACTCAAATATATAATGTGTTATCTTTTTTTTAAAGAGTGTCAGAGTATGACCTAAGTTTTTTTTTCTTAAGGTATTTGAAATAAGAAATACTGAAGACCTAACTGAAGAATGGTTACGCGAGAAACTTGGATTTTTCCACTAATGTGAACTTCTGTGTTTCTAAAGTATTTATGTATTAACCTGACCATACTGGAACCAGACATAAATACTTATTTATGCCTAAAAATGCACTGTTACTTACAAGTTTGTTTCCTGCAGTAAAGAAAAATTGTTCATTTGTGCAAAGTTTGAACAAAGAAGAAATCATCTTCATAGTAATGAAACTTTGTAAAGTGTTTCCTTATATTTGTAATTGTTAGGTGGGCTACTTTTCTCCAGGGACTTTTTGCACTCTTGTGACTAATTTCTATAACTTATGGTTCAGAATTTGTTACTCTTTACAGACACCATTGGAAAGTGGATATTAGATTGTGAGAGACAACAGTTGCCTCCTTTTGACAAATACTGGATATTAGCAGTTTATGTATGAAAATAGCATATTATCACTTGTCAAATCATTGAAATTAATTTGGGGTTAAAGACTTGAATGACCTAGTATTGAGCCATGAATAATTTACTGTAGTGTAACTTGCACTACAATTATATTTTTCATCAATTCTTTATCATCTTTGGTTTTTAATCAAGTCTAGAAACTGTGTTCATCAATCACTCATTCTTAAGGTCTGGGAGTTAGATTTTATGGCAGAATTATGACTGTTAGGTTTTCTTCTTGTGGAAAATAGCATCTTAGTCTTAGAAATTGGTGGGTGGTAGTAATCAAGGGCTTCATTCCTGGTTATGTCATTTCTAGATAATTTTGAATCTAGGTTAATAATACTTTATTTATAAAGCACCTCCCACTGTCCTATGAACACTAATTATTTTAAATGTGTTAATACTGTGCCTTTGATTTATTAGCTTTAAAGTTAGTTTAAGACTTTTACACTGCCAGTATTCCAGATTTGGTGAAATTAATACTTTTTTAAAGAGTCCAAGTAAAACAATTTTCTAATGTGTATATCTGAAATTTGTAATAAAATCAGCTTCATACTTTAAAATTCCAACTATCTGCTTGCATTGGTGAACAGATGGCAGTTGAGAGTTATAACTTGGGGTATACTTGTGATTAGTTTTGTGCCATAGGGAAAAAATTGTTTATCTTAAAACATTGGCCATAGTTGATAACATTAACACATCGGTAGAAATCATATCTTACATCCTAAATATCAGAAGATATTCTAAACTGGACACCTGAGTAGTTAATTAAAACAGTCTTGTTAGATGGTGGCATCTTTGGCATAAAGCAAGGATTCTAATGTTTGGCATACTTTTAAAAACATATATAAGTAACTACTTAACATTAATTTGATAATAGGTCTAGAGACTTTAAAAACTAACCAAATTTGGTGAGTACATTCTTATATTAAGAATATCTTAGTCATTTCAAAACTAGCAAAGGCATTTTTTTATGTTGGCATATTTTCCATTCATATGTCCGTTGTGTTTTATTTTTGAGGTTTCTGTGCCAACTTTACTATAAAGAGGTAAAGATAGTTGGAATTTTCACAATATTGAATAGAGCATCTTCTGTTCCCAACACTGTTTGACTTCACTAATTTAGAAGTCAGGAAGCAATAGGAAGTTAGTTGGAGTTGAGGAAGTGCTAGAGTGGGTATTTGTTTTGGTTATTAAAATGGAAAGGATTCTTTATTCCAATTTCCAGAGAGAGAGAAAACTCATCCAGGAAGTTTAAGAATTCTTTAAACAGGTATTTTGATAATGGAAAATAACTTGCTTATTAATTCTGTAGAAATGCAAATGTAATCCAAGTGAGTAGAGTGTTTTTAATGTTTTCGAATGAAGGAAATGAGATTTTGTGTCACCTGGTTTGCAGCAATAAGAGAAACAAGTGCTGCATGAATGTATTTTTCAATGAGGTTCCTTATTTTGTCTTGCATGTGTAGTTTTGTTTTTTTCTTTTTTTAATTTGGAAGTCCTCCATAATGTCAGATAATATTGACCTAGCATACACAGCACTCCTTAGTTCTGTTATCTTAACAGGACCAAAGAGCTGTGATAAACCATGCTTTTTGAGCTTGCCTTGACTCCTTATCAACAATGTATATTTTGCAAGACAACAGATTGAGGTTAGAAGATCAGTAGGACATTTTTACTCCATCAGTCCTATAGGAGATTTACAGATTCCATGCTTTAAAGTGTTCTCAAACATTTATGTAGATTTCCCTTTCATCTAACTAAATTTTGCATTATTCTTTTCAAGTATATTTCCTATTTAGTCTCTTTTCTCTGCCTTCCTTCAAATAGTAACTCCAGATTTTATAATACCAGTTTTTACATTCCATATCTTTCTGGTACAACCATTCCCATTCAGCCTTAAATCTTAATCTTTCCTTTTTGGCAGCATCTTTTTTCCTGGGACCCTCCTTCATGGTCTTCTAAGCCAGCATTAAGTTTTGAAATTGTTGGCCTGTGTAAGTTCTGCATAGCATCTAATGTCAAAATAGAACCAACTAGTAATCACAGTATTATTTAGTATGGGTTTTGTGGCAACATAAATGACATGAAGAAAACTGTTCTCAGGTTACTATGCTGAAAGTCCAAAATGTCTGAGTTTTGAATAGTAATCACTTTGTTCTGGTATTGAAGCAATTATGTTAGGAAAAAAGTTGGTTGATTGTTTTTGTTTGACTTCTAAAATAAATGTTAAAATCGTCTATTTCTAAAAAGTTTACTAAATGCCTAGTGCAGTTAAACATACTCTTGTTTAAGAGGGTGTTGCTAAATTTTTTATTGTCATTATTAAATAATCTTTGTGGCAAAATATCTGTCAGCACTTTTTCCTGCCCTTTTTATCTCCTATTTTCAGGAGTCAAACGTAGCCATAAACTGTATCCTTGTCTGACACTTTAACTACGTTTCCGGTTAGGGGAGTTTATTGCCAAATTTAATTTGGCTGTTTCCCCCCACCCATATAAATATTAAGGAAGATATACTTAAAAAGTGTCTGGACTACTTGTAAAACCCCAGCGATGTCACTAATTCGTATATGGACTAGTGACGAATAGATATTTTCATAAGAGTTTAAATGCTGATATTTGGTGGAAGTAGAGAGTAACTTGTATTCTATCAATTCAAGTATTCTTAGTATGATTGCTTTCCCTAATTGTTCATTAGACTGATAATACTGGAATCTACAGAGTTTGAGCCTTTACAACTTATGTGAGGATGTGTTTCAAACATTTCTGGACAAATCTTTTGTATTTCTGGAAGAATGTAATAAGTAATCTTCTAGGCCACTTAAAACTAATGGTTGCGAATTGAATATTGAGAAATTTGTTTTCCTATTATGCCATTTGACATTTCAAATCAATAATCATGTTCTTGTAATGTTTAAAACAACTACATTAAGCTTGTGATAGAAACTGTATTTTATTGCTTTTTGGAATATAATTCATACACATATAATTACTTGAATATTGTTTGAGATCACTAACATGTCAGGGCAGTTTCCACTGATTTAGATGGTCCAATATAATCTCATTCAGGAGGCTTGAAACATTAATGATTTAGTCTTGTGAATTTTAACAGTTCTCTGTCATCGTTTAACAAAAGCAACAACTGGCACAACTTCTTAAGCTGTGGTTTCAGTCTCTGCTAGTTCATATTGCATGTTTATTTTGGACAGTCTTTTGTTAAGCATGGTGCTTGTACTGGTTTAAATAAAATGTTAACATGAAAGCACTTCTGGCTTTTCATTTTTTACTCATCTCTTGCCTTCTTTGGAGATACTGATACCTGCCTGGCTCAGTTTGTGTGAACCACACATTGATACATCAGTTTACTTTAGCAGAAAAACTCAGAGGCAAAAAACCCGAGAATCACTTGGCAACTTGGTGGAGGGAGAAAATCTTAAAATTATAAAAGTTTCAAAATCTCAATCTGATGTTAAAATGATTCATTTAAAGAAAACGTCAGTGAACCATAGTAAGAGCAGAGGGAGTTATTTCAAATGATGAACCCTTGCTTTCAGAGGGAGAATTAAAAGTTAGAAGAGCTGTATACTTCCTAAGAAATCAAATCGAAGTTTCTTTTATTGAATGTAGTTTATCACTATTTATTAAACCTCCATTGAAGACCCAGGCTACCCCTGTTACTAGCTGTACTACATGGTATGTGTTTAATAGGTATCTAGTGAATGAATACAAATCACTAATACACAGTTATTAGAGTTTACCACATATTTCTTGTGATTGAATATGTTGTAGTAGTCACAATTTGTTATGGTGTTGAAATAAGGAGTTTATGCCTTACTGTCTATAAGAATTTCACAAGGTGAATTAGCCAGAGCATGGAAACATTTATATCTTCCTTATTTCTCCAATTCGGCCACATAACTATGCAAATAGCCAGTGCCTAAATTTTTTCATCTTCACTAAAAAATATCTTTATTGTCTTTTTGTCCTTTTCACTTTTCAGCAGTAAAAAGCATTTGTAAGCACTTAACCTCACAGCATGGGCCCACTGTCTCATTTGTATGAGGATATACCTTGAGTGGGTATTGCATCCTTGTACAGTATATTTTTAGCTATGTTGGGGAGCCAATTAGATTAAAGATCTTATTGCTGAGCATTAGGAAGTTTTTACACTGACAATCTTCTTATCCTCTACTTGAGATCTGCCCCTCCTGCTGAGGTTGTCCTCTTTTAATTACGGGAAAGAAAAAAAGATGAATGCCTAAGTTGCATCCAAAAGCCAACCTACAAAGCAGGGGGAGGATGGGTGTGTGTGTGTGTGTGTGTGTGTGTGTGTGTGTGTGTGTGTGTGTGTGAGACTTCTAAATTATCACTATTATCTACACAGTTAAGTACAAATTCTCTTGGAATTTAAGGCTCTCCATATTTTGGCCCATTTCTTACCTGTACTGGACAGCTGTCTCAGTCCATACTGTGCTTCTATAACAGAATACCTGAGATTGGGTGATTCATAAAGGACAGAAATTTATTTCTCACAGTTCTGAAGACTGGAAAGTCCAAGATCGAGGTGGTGGCATCTGGCAAGGGCCTGCCTTCCTGCATCCTCACATGGCAGAAGGCATGAAGGAGAGAACCTACTCGTGCAAGCCCTTTTTTTAGCAACACTAGTCCATTCATGAGGGCTCCACCCATATGGCCCCACCTCCTAACACTTGCATTGGGGATTAAGTTTCCAATGTGAATTCCAGTGTGAATTTAGACCACAGCAACAGCCAAGCCTAAACACACCCACAGCCCTTCTCCAGGTGGAAATGCCCAGTCATTACCCCTGGCTGTACCTTCCTGTTCTTAGCCCCCTTCCCAACCTAAGTACACACAGGACTCCACTGCTTCCAGCCCCAGCTGGTTGAACCCAAGGGCAGCCAACCTCTATGATATTGCCAGCCTAGTACCAAACAATGAGCTGGGCCATTCTCTTGAATGAGGTTGGTAGCAGTGGGAGCTGACCTTGAAAGAACACTATTAGATGGAGAAAAGGGAAAAGATACCAGCTGGGGTGGTATAGAATAAAGCAGGCATGCAGAGAGTAGATAAATCATGTTAAAGATGGAGCCCTAAATTTGACCCACCCCCTCCTACCTTTTAGGTTTATAGAGTGTGCTTTGATCCAGGGCTACTCTTGAATGTTCCCATTTTCTGAGGCCTGTTTGGTCAGCTTCTGGGTTCCTTTGCATGTCTATCCTTACCAGAAACCCTCCATTACTTGTTAACATGGACACGTCTGTTTACTTGTGTACAAAAGTGCCTACGACGGTGCTGCCTCTCGTTCATCTGCCACTACTCCCTACATTTACACTAACTCCAGTCTAACCGAATGTGATGGTTAATTTTAAGTGTCGACTGGACTGGATTAAGGAACACCTAGAAGCCTGGTAAAGCACTGTTTTGGGGGTGTCTGTGAAGGTGTTTCCAGAGGAGATTAGCAGGCGAGGCTGAGTGGACCAGGTGGGGAAGATCCACCCTCAGTGTGGATGGGCCCCACCCAATCTGCTGGATGTCCAGAGAACAAAAACAAAAAAGGTGAATATGTCAGTCTATCTGCTGTAGCTGGGATATGCTCTCCCTCTCCTTTCCTTGGACAACAAGTCCAGGCTCCCCAGCCTTTGGACTTGAGGACTTAGACCAGTGGCCCTCTGGATTCTTAGGTCAGACTGAGAATTACACCATTGGCTTCCCTGATTCTGAGACTATCAGACTTGGCATCAGCCACACTATCACACTATCAGTCTAATGTCAAAACATCAACATAAGATGTAAGCTTTCTTGCTTCCTCTTTCCCCATGTGACATTTTGCACATGCCAGCTCCCCTTCCACTGTTCAACATGAGTTAAAGCAGCCTAAGACCCTTCCCAGATGTATCTTCCTAATCCTAGACTTTCCATCCGCCAGAATCATGAGCCAAATAAACCTCTTTTTTAAAAATAAATTCTCCAATCTTAGGTATTCTGTTATAACAACATAAAATGGACTAAGATATATAATAACTCTATATGTAACTTTTCAAGAACTGCCAGACTGTTTTCCAAAACAGCACACCATTTTAAATTCACACCAGCAATGTATGAAGATTCCAATTTCTCCAAATCTGTCAACACTTGTTACTGTCTGTCTTTTTGAATACAACAATTCTAGTAGGTTGTGAAGTAGTATCTCATCATGGTTTTGATTTGCATTTCCCTAATGGCTTGTGCTTATTGGCCATTTGTATATTTTCTTTGGAGATATTTGTATTCAGATCCTTTATAATTGGGTTATATGTCTTTTTATTATTGAGCTGTGAGAGTTCCGTATATACGCTAGATAAAAGTCACTAATTAGATATATGATTTGCTAATATTTTCTCCTACTCAGTGAACTATCTTTTCACTTTTTTGATGGTGTACTTTGAAGCAAGAAGTTGTTGGTTTTGATAAAGTCAAATCGTCATTTTTTCTTCTCTTAGTTGTGTTTTGGTGTCATATCTAAGAAGGCTTTGCCTACCCCCAAACTCACAATTTATTCCTATGTTTTCTTCTAAGAGTTTTATGTTATAGTTTTAGCTGTTACATTTAGGTTTGTGATCAATTTGAAATTCATTTTTGTGTATGGTGTAAAGAAGTGCAACTTCATTCTTCTGCATATGGATATCCAGTTGTCCTAGCACCATTTGTGGAAAAGATGATTCTTTCTCCCCATCGAATTATCTTGACAGTGTTGCTGAAACTCAATTGACCATAATGTCAAGGTGTATTTCTGGGGTTTTAATTCTATATCGCCGATTTATATATCTAGTTTTATGCCAACAACACACTGTTTCGATTACTATAGCTTTGTAGTAAGATTCAAAATTGGAAATGTAAGTTCTTCAGTGCTCAGACTTTGAAGCTATCACCTTCAAACTTCGACTATTGACTACTTCATTTAACTTTGAGTAAGTTGCTGGATTTTTCAGTTCATCACTATTCTTATCAGTAAATAGGTTTTAGAGTAATGGCTTTCCATTTAAATAAGTTGTTATGAGTACTGTTTAGATATTAACTATGTTGTATCACGTTTGTGGCATAGATTAGACAATAACACCACATTTATTGAAAATTGCAAAGGGCAGGCAAACTGAATTTAAGTTGACTGAATTTGAATTATATGAATATATTATAGAACAGCATTGAAGTGTACAAATAATGCATTTTTTTGAACAAAATTAAGATTTAATTATATAAGAACATTGGACTTCCTCCCAAGCATTTGCTCCAGGGCAATAGCAATGTTATCTCTTCTTTAAACATTATTTGTGTACTTTTAAAAGAAATAAATATTTGATAACCTCAGAGTGCCCTCCAGATAACTCTGGATTGAGGCCAAATTACAGTCATGCCTCACTTAATGACAGGAATACATTCTGAGAAATGTGATGAATTTCACCTTTGTGTGAGCATCATACCTTACTACACACCTAGGCTATATGATATAGCCTAATGTTTCTAGGCTACAAACCTATATAGCCTTTTATTATACTGAATACTGTAGGTAATTGTAACATAATGGTAAGTATTTGTATATCTAAACATAGAAAAGGTACAGTAAAAATATGTTATGAAAGATCAAAAATGTTATACCTGCCCAGGGCACTTACCATGAATGGAACTTGCAGGACTAGAAGTTGCTCTGGGCGAGTCAGTGAGTGAGTGGTGAGTGAAGGCCTAGGACATTACTGTAGACTTTATAAACACTGTACACTTAGGATACACTAAATTTATTAAAAATTTTTTTAAATGAACTTAGTTTACTGTAACTGTTTTACTTTATAAGCGTTTTTTTTTTTTTTAACTTTTTGGCTCTTTCATAATAACATTTAGCTTAAGACAGAAACATATTGTACAGGTGTACAAAAATATTTTCTTTCTTTATATTCTTATTCCATAAGAATTTTTCTATTTAATTTTTTTTTTTTACTTAAAAACTAAGTTTTGTTAAAACTAGTTTTGTTAAAAACTAAGACACAAACACACACATTAGCCTAGGCCTACACAGAGTCAGGGTCATCATTATCACTGTCTTCCACCTCCATATCTTGTCCCACTGGAAGGTCTTCAGGAGCAATAACATGCATGGAGCTGTCATCTCCTATAACAACAATGCTTTCTTCTGGAATACCTCCTGAAAGACCTGCCTGAGGCTGTTTTACAGTTACCTTTTTGTTTATAATTAGAAGGCATACACTCTAA